GGGAGAAAGATGGCGCCCACACACGTACTGAGATGCTGTCAACGGGGCTTAGCATGGATACCTGTGATTTTTATCGCCCTGGTCGTCTGCTGGTCGTATTACGCTTATGTGGTGGAGCTTTGTATATGTAAGTAGACGTCCTCCCGCCGTCGGTGGCCTCGTTAAAAGTCCTTTTCTTTTCTTTTTTCACCGCTGCTGTTTGCGTTTGTGCTTGTCCACACAAACATACAGCTGCTGCTGCTGCTGGCCGGCAGGAAGTAAATGGACTGCAGCTCAACAATGGTGTTGGCAAAAGCCCGTCCGAATCTAGATACAGCTAATTATGTGTTAGCTGCCATCGGTGTTTTAATGGCAGATTTGTTTTTGGACAAAGAAAAAGTTTCACGGTGCTGTTAATATTGCTGCCCGTCTCGGTCTCTGTTGTTTTGTGTCGAGCTGAATGGAGTCTGGATGGAGAATTAAAATGCCAACTAAACGGTATTTGGCTGCCTGACCACATAAATACTTTCCCTCTAACTAGACTACCCGGTAATTGGCTTTGGCACGGGTGATGTGTTGATTTGGCTCGAGAGCCTTCGTGTTTCAAGGAAGAGAAAATGTTGTAACATTAAAGCGAAAACGAGGAAAAACTGTATATATTGTGAGCTGTGAATGGTGTATAGCTTGTGTATTTCAGGAGTTCCCAAACTTTTTCATATCAGCATCACAGAGATACACCCACACACACCAGATTTGGTGTCAGGGTCTCATTTGAATGTACTTTAATGTAATTGTGATATGAAAAATATGCACCTCAGTACACGCACACACACACATATGTTTGGTATCAGGGAATCCCATCCAAGAAGACTAGATTGGTAAATTTCCAACCTTAAATTGAGACAATAATTATGTTGGATCACATATTACAGTTTATATGGCTTCAGTGGGCTCCTGAGTTACAAAAAATACAAAAACAATTAGATACATTTTTGTTGATGTTAAAATTCCCGTTTTCTTTAGCGCTTTAGGGACTTTTTCTTCCCCACATTGGCTCTAAAGAGACTGAAAGTTCATCCCTGAGCCAGAAAACAGTCGTTGAGGAAACAGCCCCCTTCACGAGGTGGATGAGAAGCCCTCAAAGTGCTCCGATAAATGGAAAATTACAACTGGGCAAACTCCATATGCAGAGGAAGGTTATGTCACATGACTGAAAGCTTAAGAATAGCCACTTAATGGACCTTGTGGGGGGACTATTTTGTTGAAAAGTTGTAGAACAAAAGCATGATTTTGTGGAACAGACATTTGTATTAGTATATTGTGGTAGGAAAGCACTGGATTAGATATTCAAATGTAACCATGCCTTATTTTTAAAAACATTTTTAATCTGAATTCAAGCCCACCGTCAGATGTATAACCACTGATTTTAATGTTGATTTAAATAATGACGGTCACTGCTTAGGTTACAGTTTCTTCCTCCTCTAACATTTGTTTTCTCTGTTTTTTTATCTTACAGTCACCATCCCAAGTATAGGAGAGCAGAGTAAGTGTCTCTGGGAATCAAAAGAATGTTTATTTAATGCATTGTGAATGGTTTACAGAACGGAGACAGTTTGCTATTTATTGGGATAATCTGTCTAACGTCTGGTGAAATATGCGCTGTACACTTAGCTAAAAAAAGGCTGGCACAGAAAATGTGCTCTCTCAAAGTGCTGAGGTCGGTCTGCGTGAAGCAGAAGAAGCTCCTCATTCAGCAGTAGTGTCCCTCTCTCATTAATCTAATATGTACAGTAGATGTACAGTGTATTGGCATAACCCAAGTGACAGCAGCAGTTCTTCTATATCAACATCTTTATGGGAATTTGCTTGTGTTCAATGTCAGTGTACATTCTACATTTCTATTGGTCCTTATGCTTTGCTTGATGTTTCTCTGCAGTTGTCTACCTGATCTTCTTCCACCTCTCTTTCATCATGTTTGTATGGTCTTACTGGAAGACCATCTTCACCAAGCCTGCCAACCCCTCCAAAGAGGTACAATAACCCGATCATCCGGTAATCTCCTGTTGACATTAAGTTAGTCTTGCATTGCCAGGCCTATCGCCACACTTCGTTTTAGCACTGTGATAGAAGGTCTGGCTCAACCCTGTGATGATATTGCAGGGAGGGACGCTGGTTTGTTTGTATTTCTGTAAAGGTCAAGTTATAACATTTGGGAAGCTCTAATGGCAGAAGTTTCATAAAATATTTATAGATACATTTTCATTAGTTTTTTTCATGGGGGGAGGTGTGAAGCGAGAGAGTTGTAATCTGCAACTATACCACTAGATGCCACTAAATCCTACCCAATGGACCTTTACACCAGTCTACGAATGTTAAGCCCAGATTGGCCTTGCAAAATACTGTTGGTAGACAGCCGACTGAAACAGTTGCTTAATGGCAAACCTATGACAACAGTCTACTTCCTGTGACTAACATAAAATGCACATGAATGCATACTGTTTGCTTTTTTCTCTCCAGTTCTGCCTCCCCAAGGCTGAGAAGGAGCGTTATGAGAAGGAAGAGAGGCCAGAGTCCCAGCAAGAGATCCTATGGAGAGCAGCCACCAGTCTGCCTCTGTACACCCGCACAGGAGCCGGAGGTACGTCTTATGCGTGTCCAAACGTGAGTGTCCCCCTGTGTTGAAGTTGTCCAATAACGAGATATCCACTGTGTTCACACGATGCAGCAATCCGTTACTGTGACCGCTGTCAAGTTATTAAGCCAGACCGGTGTCATCACTGCTCCGCGTGCGACATGTAAGAAATCCTAATTATTGTATGTGATTGTGAACTGTGAGACTTGATTCAACTAAGATCATTTTCTTCATGTTGATCTGATTTTTTATTTTTTTTTTTAATCTGTGTACTTTTCTATTCCCTTGCTGTGTGTGGCAGGTGTGTGCTGAAGATGGACCACCATTGTCCCTGGTATGTTAAGCTATATACTTCTCACATTTTAATCCTAGTTTTAATTCTCTGGGTTAGGAAGGTTCACTCTTTGTGCCCGTCATAATTGCAACAGGTTCATCAAGCTGTTGAATGTTAATCCCTTCACCGCAAAACATACAATGTTATGAGTGTTTTTCAGCTGCTTAATGCAGATCTATGAGCATAAGGAGATAGATGTGATAGCCAGCACTTCCTCATACTGTAAAAGCACAACGCTGTTAACCAAGAACAGACTGATTACTGAACTGATGCTCACTTCCGTTTGTTCTTATCTGCTTTGAATACTTCAAGAATTCATATTACAAATAGTGGAATTGGATTTGTTTTAACTCTATGTTGGAATAAAGTCTCACCCTGCAGCATGATGTTGTCCAAACGGTTAATTATACACATATGGATATTCCTCTCATTCTCTGCAATCATAACAATAACACAAAGCCTCCACCTTTTTTGTTGAAAGTTCAGGCTGATAAGATTTCTAGCCAGAGGAAGTGATGTCAGACCTGACCTTTCTGTGTTTGTGTGTCTCCAGGGTGAACAACTGTGTGGGATTCTCCAACTACAAGTTTTTCATCCTCTTCCTGGCCTACTCTCTGGTGTACTGTTTGTTCATTGCGGCCACCGTGCTGCAGTATTTCATAAAGTTCTGGACAGTGAGTAACCACGTGCGGCCCTGCTCACACTCAGCATGTAGTGAATGTTACAGAGGATGCCGATTTCGGTGGCACAGCGAAAAGCCCGGATGAGCATCCTCTGGGTTGGTTGTGCATGGAGCTGACCTCTCCTGTGCTGAGCTGTGCTGCTCCTCTGTTTTCTCCTTTGTCTGTCCTCTCTCACCCTTCACCCTCCGACCCCTCTCTGTTTCCCCCTTCTGTTATCCCCAGTTCTCGCACACTGGGTCATTGTTCTCTGATCTCTCTCCTTTCTTTCGCCCTCTCCACTATCAGAACCATCAGTCACGCCACTCATGCAGTCGCAAAACACCTCCTCCTTTTCTTTTTTCTTTTTTTTTTTTTGTAGCTGTTCCACTTCGATTTCCTCTCATCTCTCCCTCTTTCATCCCTTTGTTCGCTCCATTCTGGGCACACTTTGTGCATTCACCCACTCTCTGTCCTTCATTACCCCCCCCCCCTTCACCCAACTTGGCCTTGACTTATGTTTGCCTTCTGATTTCTAAGTGCTTCCTCCCCTCCCACCTGTTCTCTCCTGGTGTTGCTAACCAGTCTTGTTTCTGTTTGTACTAAAGCTTTGCCGGAGGAAATCGGCAGAGAACTGCCCAAAGGTAACCACGCTATCCTCCAAAGCATTTAGTGTCTGCCTCACCATCGTTGCCATGGTCCTTGTCGTAACGTGCGTGCAGTGGCGTGGTTCGCATGACTCTCTTCTCATTTCTCTCTTACTCTGCCTTTTGTCTTTTTTTAACCTTCCTTCTCTTTCTTTCCATAAATATCCTCCAATATGAATTTGTTATTAATTCCTCTCTCGCTCTGCCCTTCTTCCGTCTCTCCTCCCCAGAATGAGCTGCCAGACACTCACGCCAAATTCCACGTCCTGTTCCTTTTTTTTGTGGCAGCCATGTTCTGCATCAGTATTCTGTCCCTCTTCAGCTACCACCTGTGGCTCGTAGGGAAGAACAGGTCCACTATAGGTAACAAACACACACACACATTTAACAGGTGTTTTCTGCTGTTTTCATGTAAGTATAACAATTGATTAACACTGATTTTTGAAGGGTTTTTAAAAAAGATTTTCAACAGTGTCTTAGACATAAAGTTGATAGTTCCAGATTTGGAAATAATATTCCTTTCCTTTCTCATTAAGTGAGATTAATGGCTGTTTAATGGCGTGCGTATTTGTCTTCTCTGTTCATTCCTGCAGAGGCGTTCAGAGCACCAGTTTTTAGGACAGGCTCTGATAAGAACGGCTTCTCTCTGGGTTTCCGTAAGAATATCGCTCAGGTCTTTGGAGACCAGAAGAAGTACTGGCTGCTGCCCGTCTTCACCAGGTAAAGGCGACACATTTAGAATTGAACACAGACGATAGAGACAGAGGCTTTTGTAGTGCTGTCACCAATACTAGACTCAAGCCAAGTATTGACTTTGTTTCCCATCTGTGCATTCTCTAGTTGAATTTACAGCACACTACAGCTGAATGAAGAAATCTTCTTTTAAATGTGTGTGACAGATTTTTTTCATTCTAATAAAAAAGAGCTAAAAACAGTGGGTCTCCTCTTTTTGAATAACAGGTTAACTTTGCTGTAGTTCCAACGGAAATCTGCGGGCTGACAGCCTAATCTTGAGTTTCTCCTTTCCTCTTTGTTAACTGCAGTCAGGGAGATGGCCTGACGTTCCCTACACGGCTGGTCAACGCTGATGTAGAGCAGGCCACAGTGACCCTGCAGCCAGAGCCCAATAAAAGGTGATGGATCTTGGTGTAATAAAAGATATATTATTTTACATGAGGCTCTGAAAAGGATTTATGTTGTGGATGCACTGTTCATTTTGCTTTTTTACTTGTTGGGCATGTTTCCAGTGCTGCTGAGGCCCCCGTGAGCCCTCTCAGTGAGTCACAGAATCGCCTCCTGAGCAACGACCAGCATGCCAACAACATCGGAGACCATTTGGCTAATAACACCCTCAAATCAGGTGAGCTCGACCGGGGATTATAACGTTTCACAGACAGAATTAACATTAACAACTCTCTGTATTGTCTTGGTGTCTCGTTACCTTATCAACTTTCTGTTTGGCTTCACAGCTGAAAGTGACACCATTACAATCTCTGTGGAGAGCGAGTCCTAACCAGGTGAATATGAGTAAACACACTTGACTCTGTATGTATGTTTGGATACAGCTCTGACTAAATGATGTACATTTTGATTGTAATCTACAGTCACGTAGCTAATCATTTTTTGTTTTGTCTCTTCTCTGCCACAGGAGAAACTCCCAGTCATCTAATATGATGCCTTAAGCAACAGCAACAGTTTAGTTTGTCTCCGTGGCAACCGTCTCCCAGCGCAACCCCATCCCCACAGACCCATTCAGAGTAACTATGGAAAAGCATTTGTTTCTTTGCCCATCGCAGCACAGTAATGCATCTATGGCGTTGGCATTTTTGCATGCAGTGCAAATCTCACCTACTCCCACAGGACAGATTGGTTCGCTCTCACACCAACGCACACATGCTAATAGTCACACATTCAAATCTATACATATTTCCTTGTGTTATTTCGTTTTCATGTTTTCGCACAACTTGAGCGTTTATTTGATGATGAGAAAATTGAAGAATCCTGGAGGGAATATGTGCTACGTTTGGCGTTTTAGTGAGAGAACTTTTTTTGTGCCAAAAGCTTCCTGGTCGCATCAGGAAACGTTTTATAGGCACAAAGCTGCAGTGAAGAGTGGGGGACAAGCTGGAGCAGCGCGTTCTTGTTTTGAACATCTCTCTCATGGTTTTAGAAAGGCAGTACATCCCGTGGAGGTGGATCAGTTTACTTGTGTGACTTCTTTTTTATTTTTTATCTTTTTATTTTTAACTCATTATGTTGGGGCGCATCTGTGGTCCGCACCTTTTGAGATGGATGTTTGCCACCAAAACCCGGACTATCTTACAGAGGACTCTACTGCATGGTTCAGTGGACTGAACCAGCGCAACACAGGGAAGACTGTAGCTGGGTTTTGGATGGTGTTTTGGATATCAGAGCACAAGATGGCACATTTGCACTTTGTAGATTATCAATGTCCATCAAACAACGTGCTGCTTTCTTATCATGTCCAAAAAGCATCCTGGGTATAACGGATGTTGGATGATCATGTGATTTATGGCGTATTGTTTGTGTGTGCGAATGTGTTAAACAGTTAAAGTGGCAGTCTTCATCCATTTTTTTTTAAAGAACTAACAGAAACTAAAAGAATCAGCTTTATGTGCTTTTGTGGCCAACTTGTGTTCAAACATGCTGCTTATAAATGGACAGTTTGACCTGGGAGATGTATTTCACACAGTGCAATGTGCAGCGTCTGTCACTACCTGTTCTCTTAAGGTCATTTAATTATGTCATATGCCGATCAGTGATTCTCAGCCCACAATGTCAACGTTCTGTTTTTCTACAGTTTCAACCTTTACTAAGACACCAACACTCATTGCCAAATAAGGGCTGACCTGTCAGGAGCTCTGACCTCTGAACCTGAAGTGTTTACAACATCCTAGCTTTATCTTCACTGGCCAATTTCATCCTAACCAAATTCTTTTTACCAGTCGTTGTGGCGCAATATTTTCTACAAGGTTCATCTGTTCCTGCTGCCTGTAGTGGGCCATGATGTCCTTGCAATACCAGTGCTGGCCAGCAGGTGACAGCAATGCTCTTGTTATCTGCCCTCATTTAGATGGAGATTTTTCTGAACTTTGGCTGCGTTTCATTAGTCGTTCACTTGCCCTCTGCACTTGCCCTCGTAGGGAATCCCACCGCCCATCGTAAGTGTCGCTTCCAATTTGTGGAAACTGAAGTTGAAACCTTGGGTGAGATCCAGCCTTCGGTGGGCTGAGGAGCGACGTTATGCTGTCATCATACCAGGGCTGAGGGTAAGTGAACGAGGGGAAGTGGAACTACTAATGAAACGCAGCCTTTATCAACATGTGGCTAAGGGCTCAATTCACTTTCAGGCTAATTTGCAGGTGCAACATTCTTCAGAATGAAATATTTTCGTAATATGTCATTAATATGCATCATTTTCCTATAATAACACCCACATTTGATTTCAAATGAAAGTGAATTGAACCCATCTGATATACTGTAAAATAGAGTCGGGTATAGCTTCTGCTACCTTGCGTACTCTGGGCTTGCGGAGTGAGCTCAGTGTTGTGACCTTGAACTGTTAAAGGAGCCTCAGCATGTGTAAAACAGTGAACTGTCTTGCGTCAGGGTTAAACATCTGGGACATGACTTAAAGTCTAACAGCATCTGTAAAGGAAAACAGATTTGATTTCATGACTCCTACATAATACACCTTGTGAGTAACTGTTTGAGAATGGACTATTTTATCAGTATAACCAAATAACAATTGTTCAGGAATGAGTTACATCCTTTTCCAAGGAATTTTGTTATTTATATGCAACTTTCCGATTCACGTTGGAGGGAGACCCAGCAAATTCCTGATGTCTGTCATTGCTCATGTCTACCTGATCACATCCCTGACTGTTGCTGGACGAGCCTCCTACTAACCAGATCCCACCAGACTCCGGTGATGTACAAGTTTACAGCTGTTTCTATCGTGTAGAGTGAGTTAGTGGTGTTGTACGGTGTGTTTCTTGGTAATCATTGTCACAATTGTGCTGAATGTACTACAGGTGGGACACTGAGGGTATTTGATGGAATGGTGGAGCATTAAAAACTGCTCGCTCTTTGGATTTTATGTTTACGTTTGATCCTTCCAATCATGTTTGACCTTTTGAGCCCAAGTGTATTTATAATTACTCTTTACAAACAGGTGATTAGGGGATATTATATGGATTACGCTCACAGTGGCTAAGTATCAGAATCACACTGTGGTTTGATCTCAGTTTAGCAGATTCAATTACTGTCAGAGATCATGATCCAAGCCAAGGTTACGTTTGATCATGTAGATTTTTTCTAAACCTCATACATTTAGTTAAAGAAAAAGACAAAAAATGACTCGTATCATCTGCAAGGAACCTGGCTTGTTCCACACGTCACTTACGGCCACTGATTCTGAAACACTGGACCTGTTGTCTTGTTGTTTTACAAATTGCCTATATTCTCTCTCTGAGCTGTTTGGCCTTGAGACTAAAGTGCGCGTGTGTATTTTGTAATGCTTAATTGAGTGTTCTTTTGTATTATTGTCGTCTTGGGAGAAATGCTTCTGTGCAGCCGTGAGATTTTTACATCTGTGTACATACATAACGTCTGACTAATGCTCAAAAAGCATGGCGCCTAACTTATGTAAAATTGTGTTTTACCGTGATAACGGGAATTTGGGGGTTTTTCAACTATTGCTGGGTGCGTCATGTTTTAAATTAGCTTTACTCTGGTTTGTCTCAACTTTATAAATGAAGCCATAACAACTCCTGTGAAAACGGAGGAAGGATCTAAAAATTTCAGTCAATTTCAGTCGACAAAAACATTTTACATCTGTATTTACCTTGCAGATCATAACTCGCTTGTTGCTACATTTGGATTTCTTTTTGTTACAATGTCATATTTTACAATGTGTGTGTATATATATTGATAATGTATGAAGAAGACTACATATATTTTTCTTGTCTGATTAATTTTACTGTTCCTATTTTGTGATGAAAGTACATGCCTCCACACAATTAACGTGAAAATAACAATAAATGTTTTTTTAAACCTCCAGTCAAATCTTGCTCTCATCAGTTTTTTTGGTTAAGTCAGGATCTGTACCTGCAGGTGTGTTGCTTTTCTATTTTTCCACGGCATGTAAAACCGTCTTGTGTTGACGTGTGTTTCTATTACCAGTTTAAACACGCCAAATCGTCTCCGAGCTAGCCCGGTTCTTCTTCACTCCGTCGCCAATCTCTTGAAATGACAGAGGAAAGTAATAAGTAAGTAATAAAGTAACCAATCTGCCAATCTATCTCACACTCCATTTCACTCTCACTTGTTAACAAAATGAAATAGTAGTTAAGAGTATCCGGCTTTCCTGGAGTTTGGGTGGCGTCCTGGAAAGGATTCTATTTATAGACTCTATAGTTTTACTGGAAGACTCAACAGTCACACGCGCAATGATAGAGAAACCTGAAGATGGGGTTGATCTAAAGCAGAGTGGTGTTTGTTATTGGATTTATATGGTCATAACCAACACCATGTTCAAGCATTGGTGGTTCATACATTTAGGCTACTGCTACTTGGTACCAGAACACCTTACGCCAAAGATCAATGATTGACTTTGTGACGGTATCATCAGATCTGTGGCTGTATGATTGATTGTGTTGATTGTATTTTGGGCATGTGTGTGTGTAAAAACATTGAGTAAAAAAAAAAAGAATTTCCCTAATGGAGATTAATAATGTTAATCTTCTTCAATGTCTTGTACACTCAAGTGAAGAGAGGAGCAGAGCTGTCAACTCTATCGCCTCCTCGTAGTGAGTTGGATCAGGTGGTGGGATAGGCTGCTGGACAGACCTGGTGAACCCAAATCAGTAGTGAGAGTGAACTAGGAACATCTGATGGAGGAGGTTGGGGCCATGGAATCTGAGTGGGCCATGTTCAAAGCTTCCATTGTAGAGGCAGCCGGTAGGAGCTGTGTTTAAAAGGCCATCAGTGCCTGTTGTGGCAGCACTCCACGAGACCTGTACACAAACTTGGATGAATAAAATAGCCAGACTTTCCCTTTAATTGTTTAAGATATGTAGATATTAAGTGAGAATTGCTAATGTTTTTTCAACAGTGCGTCTTTAATCGTGCTAGACAGCATGCAGACTGAATGGGTAGGTATGTTTAGCTTTGTGCTTTTAGAGTAAGGAAGTGATTTGGATAAGTAAACACTGCTTAGGTTTTGGTCTAAAAAAAGTGCCTTTCGATAAGCTCGGATACAGGACAAATTACTTCATGCCTACAGTATTTGAAGGAGATTAAGGGACCCAGATTAACCATGACCTTTGCTATCTGTCTAACACTCAGGCCCTTGACTTGTGCTGTTGAGGCCGTTGTTGACTGTTCTGCTGATCATCTCGAGTCCCTCATGCGTCACTTTAATTTCCTCGACAAAAGCGCCTGCTGTGGCTTTGTAAAGGGTTTGTGAATCATAATTTAGGCATATGAGTACTGAACAAACCCCCGGTGTATCACATCTGTTCTGCAGATCTGTACAGCACACGGGCCAAGGTGACAACAGCATGACTTGGCATATAATATGCAATGTAAATGCCAAGTCTGAGTAAAAAATACTGCTGCATTTGATGCAATGGAATTACTGTATTGTGTTCAATATCTTTCCTAATTTGAAATTTAAAGTAGACAACCACTTCATATAAACATACTGCTGTATAAAAGCAAGTTTATCTTTATCTTTATAAAGCAATCTGAACAAAACCGTACACAATGTTGATTAAAAGAAACCAAGAAAGAAAAAAAAGTTTCATGATTTTGACAGTGTTTTTACATGTTTTGTGCATGTGTATTTATGAGTAGCGTGTCCAAGTACATGTGAGCTATAAGCTCCCAAGGTAATGACCTCAGTGTCAGTTTTTGAGAGAGAGTAAACAGTGACTTGTTCAAAACCAAACAAGTCTGACCTCTGCAAGGCCAAAGCAGCCTCGGTTTCACTAAAGACCTTTGGATGGTTTAGCCATTAAAGGGAAAATCCAACATTAAACAGATTTTGGATAGTAACATCGGTATCTACAAACATAGCCAGCAACGTGCCTTGGCAGGAGGTCAGAGCGTAAAAACTTTGATACACGGTCTGATCAGGTGACAGTTTTTTGGAGTTGGTTGGTGAACTTTAATCTGAATGTCTGGCTTGTACCATAGCAGCTCTTATAGCATGCCGTCTGTTCCCTGTATCCCTTTTTCTAAGATGACATCATCTTCACAGTCCATCTTTTTTTTTTTAAATATCCTCTTAGTAATGCTCCTGTAGATTCTTGGGAACAGATTTCTCCCAAACTCAGGCCAGTCGGGACAAACCTTTTCTGATGAGTGTGGACTAGAAACGTAAGATGAGGTGTGCCCAGATGAACCAACGGAAATACAATTGCTCAAATGATCCAGTGGTCACGTAAGGTGAGACAGGGATGGGTCATATTGTACATTTTGTAATGAAGGTGAACACATCTATATGCATCATCACATCAATACTGAGAGACACAACTTTTGCACCTCCCTATGTAATTTTGTGCTGAAGATGTGTATTACCTTACTAGATCCCTGTTTTAAGGACGTCAGTCATCTTTTGTAATCATTCCTGAAATGTGTCTGTACATGCAGCCTGTGGATAAAGAGATTTCATCTCTGAACAAAGTGGGGAGAAAAAAAACAGCCTTAAGTTACTTTAACCTCAGGTGGCCTAATTTGCCTGAACAGACAGGCAGCTATGATAAAGTAGAAAAAATTCTCATTTGATGTAAATGGGAGCAGAGGTGAAGAAGATTGATAAAAACCAAAACAAGTTCTTGTGAGAGATTGAACAATTAGGATGCAGAAAATACCAGATGAGATTAGATTTTTGTTGGTAAAAACTTCACTTGAGTCATTCTGTTATTCAGTGTAATGCTAGATTTCATTCGGTGATGTTTTGCTCTATACAGGCCTCTCAGTGCTGTGCTGAATGCAACCAAGGGCGCAAAAAGATTTGCAAATGCCTCACATGACCATACGCCTGCACTCGTTGCTATGGGAACAGGGGGGCATGTGATGTGAGTGCCTGTGTTGTCCACAGGCGCTATAGTCTTAAGAAATGCCCCGTCCCATACAGCACACACACACACACACACACACAAATATAACACTGTAAGCTTTCACCTCCTCCACCCAAAAGCGCTATTATCAATGTGTAAAAACCAAAATGATACCCAGTTAACCAGGGATCCCCATCTGAGAAGAGCGCCTCTATTGTAATGACAACAACTGGCTTCAGAAAGGCTTTCTGAGGGAAATATTCATTGGAAAACAAGGAGAACTGGCTAGAAATGGAGGACATTTGAGCTCCTTCAGCGATGAGGACTCACTGTATGTGAATGAGGACTTGAGTGGTACTAATTCTCACCACACTGAACCACTCTCTGCTACAACCACACATGACAATAACTCAACAAAATGACTATGACAATGATAATTTAAATCATAAAAAAAAAAGAACCAACAACAATACATCCTCCTCCTATCCTTTTAATTTCCCTTTCCTAAGAAGAAAAAAAGGATATGTGCCAACAAACCTTTTTAACCGTTAAATGCCCAGGATGTGGCGATTTGGCAGACGGCTTATTGTCCTATGACAGCGGGGAAGAGGCGGGTCCAGCGATTGCAGAAAGTGTTTCGGGGTGCCGGGAGGCAGATAAATCCCTCTGTGGATAGTTTGAGCACTCTTTTTTTTTGGATCATCTGCGGAGAGGAGAGTGCCGACTTTTACGCACCGAGCGTCTGTGGATGTAAGCAGCGGAGCCGAGACATAAACGGAAAGTTTCATTTTGTGGAAAAAAAGTCCAACCGACGGCAGCCAGCATGAATAATAGGTCCAACCAAACTATGCACCCAAGCTGCATGGACAAACCTCCTGTCGCCATGGACATCATCCTCAGTGAGTAGACTGGCTTTAAAGCTGCGGATCAAAAACAGACATCTCCAAGTTTTGTCCCCGACCTGATCCGTGGCTCCTGATCAGATCTCATCCCCCAATATGTGGTTGTAGAAACTGGTTCCTTCACAAAAACCTTTGCAAGGGACATTGTATCCTTCTCAAGGACTCTGCCATATGCTGTAAAAACCTGCTTAGTATCCATATAAAGAGCCAGATTCATGTAACTTGTTCAGGCAGGGCTCGGTTCTTTTTTTGGATTTTTCAACAAATGATCAGCTTTAATCCATTAATCCACACCTCTAGGTTGGTGGTTTTGTTGTATATTAGTATTCAGGCGTATGAGTTATGTTGGATAATCCATTTCACTTCACATAAACCCTGCTTCAGAGGTGTTGCAGCCTGACAAGCAATGCAGAGAGAAAATCCACTTAAATAGGACTAAGACATATTTTTATGACTTAAATCCTAAAGTAGTGAATCATTGTATAACTCATTAAACCTTGCAGGAAAGTAGTCAGAATTAAGGTAATTCAAGCTTTTTGATATTGAGGATATTTGTCCTTTTTAATAACCCCTTTAAACCCCTTAAAGTTTTTAAAGTTATAAAGTTATTTATTTATTCATTAATTATTGCACTTAAAGATTTAGTTTCTTCGCTTTACCAGTTGGCTTGTGTCGTTTTTAGTTTTACTGTTTTTAACTGTTGAACAAAAAACATTTTTCTACTTTATGATTAAGACTAAAGGGAAAGATTACCCGCTTTGTGTACTGTTACACAGTACTGTTACTGTTACTGTTTGTGTACCTTATTTTTTTTAATGAAATTAAGTTTTAAGACAGTTTTCCTCCATTTTAATATAGATATGTATGATATTAATGTAGATTGCTGGAGATATGCTGTAGATTAGCGTATATGTCAAATTTAGTCAATTTAGTAATAGTGTCATTGTTGGTTTGTTCACCAGAGAGCTCTGACAAATGTATTGTTCAGTCCAGATCACAACATATATTGGTCAAAATTCTTTAAAAAAAAATCATTTAAGGCACCCTTGTTAAAAAATGTTCCTTAAAGTTATGTATTTATACGTAAAATAAAAAAAAACTCCAGTAGGACTATTGGTTGGGCAAAAACTACCATCTGGATCAGTTTTGTCATTAAAAGATTCTCTAGTCTCTACTGCACATGTGTGGCTGCATGAGATGTCAGATGGTTAAGAGTAGAACTAACACAATACAGAAGGACCAAAATAGTTGAAGTAGATAAAGGAAAAATAATGAAACACAAATGTAAGAAATACTTAAAAAGAGCAATTTCAATTGATAAGAAAGCAACTGAGCAAACAGAACAAGCGGGCATAGTGACCACGTATGGAGAGAAATCACTGAATAGGAATGTTTGTTTGTGTGTATGTGCGTATTTGTTTTTGTGTGCTGATTACTGTTAATGACTATGTACGTCGGAGAATAAATGACTCAGATTACCAGTATACTATTACAGGCAACATGATGAAACAATTTAATTCACTTTTCCTTCCATTTTCCACTTTTCCTGTTTGTTTCATTGTGGACGTAGCTGCTTTGTCATGATCTCTTTGTTCCAGAACATCTGTTTGAGCAATTCACTTGTGACCATGTTTATCCTTTGATGCATATCTCCAAAGTTAATATCGCAAATAACACTCTTGCACTGTGCATACTCTGCATGCATTGATGCACTGATACATTTTCCATCTTCCGTTATCAGTTCTGTTTTCGGCTGAAAAAGAAAGAAACTTGCATTTTACACTACAAGTCTGGCAACAGCCTGCATTTGATTTCCCGTATTGTTTTTTTCACTTTCACTTACATTCATATGCTTAGAAATAGAATCACTGTTGAGTTTTATGTTAACCCTCAAAATATGTTGATGATAAATAAGTTAGGGGCAAATTATATTTGTTTCGCCTCCGTTTATCATTAATTCAAATGATAAATTTTTATTATGATAAATTATTTTGTAAAATGTTCTGATGCTATAAAGCTCCTTTTGCATTTTAAATTAGTCTTTGATAACATGCCCTGTTAACATGCCGTTCCTAATATAACCACAGTTATACGTGATACTTGCTTGTAAGTCTAGTTTTTTTATGAATCAAAATATTTCAGCTCTGCCGGCTCTGGGATGGCAGTGTTGGTGTTGTTAGTCCTCCACTTTGGTTCACACTGAAATATATCAACATCGATCATAATGTCTCACCATGAAACACTGTGCATGCTCCCAAAAACATGAATCCCTCCGACTTTACCTCTGGGTGACATTGCTTTTTATGAACTCATCAACTATTGGATGAATCGGCACAGTATTTGGTGAAATCTCTCCAAAATGATTGGATGGATTACAATGTAATCAGGTACACACATTCATGTCCGCTGTGCCAAGTACACCCTCATAGAGTCTTGAGTATGGCTGTAGCCTCCATCTTGTCAGGACATGACTTTAAGGCTACTTCTTATTTCCTGGCAGTACTTTCACTCTGTCTACCTGAATAAACATTTCAATACGGAAACATAAATATGATATAATTACCCTGTACCCATAATGGTACATTTACAGATCATATCAAGTTTGAATTTCTGGAGGCCTTTGGGTTCAGCATCGCAGCTTAAGTTTGACGACCGCTAATTTGTTGTCATTTCCCTTCTCTTCCTCCAGAGTTAGACATCTTTGGCATCATCCTGTACTCGGTGCTCACCTTTATGGCAGCAGTGTCCATGCTGGTCTTCCTAGAGGAGTGTATCTACATCTATAGGAAAGTTCCCGCTAATAAGAAGAGTATAATCATCTGGGTGAATGGGGCGGCACCGGTAAGACTGTCAAAAACTCTGGATAGAAGCAGAATGATACAGACAATATTAATATTTTAATATATTTACCCATTCCAGCACTGGTGTTGGCAAATATATACTGTATCTTCACATTCCCTCTTTCTCCTCTCATTTCCAGGTGATTGGCACCATGTCGTGTCTGGGGATGTGGATCCCTAGAGCCACCATGTTTACTGATATGACCTCTGCCTGGTGGGTCTCTTTTCCTCTCCCTCTCTATTACTCATCTTTCATCCCTTGCTTTGTTCCTTGTTACTCACAGAGCTCCGTAATAAAAGAATCACAGAGGGGAACCTTCGTCCTAACCTACTGAGAGTTTAATAGAAAATAGTGATACTGTTGTGTAACTTTCATTTCCTCTACTTCTCTACTGATCCTGCTTCTCCAAACTCTCCCACATGTGCTAATTTCCCTTCTTCATACCTCTCTCATTCCTGCTGCACCCCTCACTCTCCTCGCCTCATTCCTCATGTCCAATTACCCGTCATTCCTCCTCTGATTTGTCTGTAGCTACTTTGCCGTTGTGGTGTTCAAGTTCCTGATCCTGATGCTGGAGGAGGTGGGTGGCGACGAGGCTTTCCTGAAGCGAGCAGGGAGGCACAAACTGAAGATCAGCACGGGGCCATGCTGCTGCTGCTGCTGCTGCCTGCCATATGTTGCCATCACACGGTAAACACTCCAGTAATACACAGTTTGTGGTTAGCGTCATCAATACAACTGTAGCACGTATGGTGAACCCTTAAATATTTTTTTTCTCACTTATGATGCAAATGCTAGGGTAGTGTAAGTTCGACTATGGAGCTGATTAACGAACACAGACACAGAACTGCATTTTCCTATTATATTGAATATAGGTACCAAACAACAACAAAAACAGTTGAAATACATGAAGGAAAAATAACTCAAAGTAAATACAAATAATAAGGCCTTTCAAAAACAAATGTTACAATAGCCCAAATATATAATATATTTGGACCAAGTACTAGCACTCAAAGTGGAACTTTTAAAATGTTTCTACATTTAATCCGTCTCAATTAATTTCAATACCAGCATAAGTAGCTTTAAAGTGACAATACTGCAACCATTTTAGCAATTTTATTGTCATAAATGTTAATAAAGTACAATAACTACAAAGTTTATTCATTCTTGTTTCACTAAAAGTTGTGCAGGTGAATTGGCACCTTGCGCAGTCCTTACACTTCACGCTGTTTCCTGCCTTGAGGGCCAAACATTCCCTAACAACACCTTGGGTGAGAACAGTTTCTGAGGAACACTCTCGGAAGCACATGTTTGGTTAGATAACAGCAGAAAGTGTGTATTTAGAAACTTGCTTCCATTATCCTTGGTGGGAGAGAGTGTTTTTCATCAGATTATTAAGCCTCAAGAGATTTGGTATCAACTGTACAGTCAGCAGTGTAAATATTCATGTAGAGAGGTTTCTATGTCTTGTATTCTACGCAACCTCTAATTTCAGCTTGTGCTTTCAGTTTTGATTTAAATTTGAATTTGAATGAAGGGTTAGAGTGAGGTTGATCATGAAAGCAGAACTCGAATGATTCTCACACCGCAGCTATCCTTAGCAAGTGTAGAGTGTTGTCTTTCATTGAAGCAATCATTCAACATTTTGCTAAAAGCTTATTTGCTTTTTTACAGAGAGACCATTACATATGAGGCCAAAGCCAGAAGCCAGTTAGCTTAGCTTAGCCCGAAGCCTACAGAAAAAGGGCTAGCCTGGCTCTGGCGAATTGTTTTACGCTTTGATTTTTGTACTGATTAAACAAAAGAAATATAACCTGTTAACAAGCTCTCAGGCTTTATGCTAAGCTACGCTACTACACATACATGAGAGTGGTGTCGACCTTCTCACTGCACTCTCAGCAAGAAAGTGCTTATTTCAAAAAGAGAGCATATTTTCCAAAAACTATTCTTTCAACTGTCTGTATTTTAAAGCTGCACTGAACAGAAATCCCTCCCACAGTGTTTTGGTTCCCTGAAATACGTTGTTTTGCACGAGTACTCGTTTCCCCAAATCTTTACAATGGAGGTGATGAGTGCACAAAAGCCACATTTACGGGAAATACACCTGGTTGAAATAAAACAGAATTATCCTTTAATCTTAAGCAATCCCTGCAATATTGAGGTAGTTTTAAAACAGCTTGCAAAGCTAATGAAGCACAGACCCTGTGCAGCTTCTAAGATTGTTACGACCATGTGTTGTTTAAGGGGTCAGCCTGGTGCAGTGAGGTGTTTGATGTCGTTTTTGGCCCTTTTAAAGATTGCATAACCACAGAGATCCTCTGTGGATCATACGCTTCTGTCCTCTGACCGCAGGTTGAACACTCTCCTGGCCATTCAACTCTTTCAAGGCGGAAGTCTGTATCGTAGCACACTGTTAGACAGCAATCCCATCATGCCCCTTCTTGGAGTACAGACTGGCTGCATTTTCACTATTTCATAGTTGATTGATCAAGCCATCTTGTTTAAATGTAATCTGTCAGCACACACAGTCTTCCATACACTGTTTGTTTATTTAATAGGTGCACGCTGGTGTCACACAAAGACAGATGTGCGTCTGTCTAACGCTATGCACCACTTAACACAGAAAATCCTGCTGCACACAACAATGATAGCGAGGATAGCTGAGCCAAGACATGCTCAGCCATGTCTTCTTTGACCAGTTTCTTTTTTCAACAACATAGCTTTAGAATCCTCTGTGCCCTCATGGGTCACATTGTTCTGTTTATAAGAAATCTTAAAGGTATAACGCACCTCAGAGGGCTGTTGATATTGTTGTTGCACACAGAAGTATGGGCATTCCTGAAGCCAATAAAGATGTTTCCAACGTCAGGTGAATTGTTTCCATCATCCTGCGGTAATAATTCAGTTTACGTTCAGGCCTATAGGGAGAGACTAAAGCCATTTTCTGTCATTAGTGGCTACTGTGAAATAATTTCCTCTTTTCCAACTCCAGGCGCTCTCTCTTCCTGCTCAAACTTGGCTCCTTCCAGTTTGCTGTCCTGAAGATTGTTTTCACTATCCTTTCTATTGTTCTCTATACCAACGGGACTTTTGATTTGGCGGACGTAAGTTGCAAATACTAAATAGCACCACTCAGTGCTATTGTATCCCTGATTTCTCTTGTACTGGTTATTTTCCAAGCTTTTTATTCTTAAATGAATCATCAAAACTTACCATTGTGCCACTATGGATTCCAGCTTTTACTTTTAGTTCTCGTTTACGATTGTTTGCTTGTAGTTTAGGTTATCTAGAAATGAGCACAACCATGATGGTTTGATTAATTATTTAATGCAGAATGTGTTATGAGTTCCTGTTGATCAAGACGCTGTGAGCTTTTGAACGCTTAATGAATTTTTAATGAATGGTTTTTAACTCACATTTGCTTCAAACATGAATTTATATGCAGTAAAATTAGCTGGAATCTAATTAAACTGTAAAGATCATTTACCAGTGCATTTAATCATCCTTTCTGAATTATAAAGCTGTTTTTATTAGCTATGCTGGCTGTATGTCTGTTAAATATCTTGATAACTAATGGATGGATTGCCATGAAATTTCGTACAGACAATCATGTTTCCCTGACAACCCCTTTTCTCTCATCAGGTCCAATAATTTGGTTTATGGCTGAATACTATACCAATCCGCTTGTAGCTATACTTTGTGTTTAGTGCTAATTAGCAAATGTTAGCACAGCATGGTAAACTTAGATGGTGATTACAGTTGCTAAACATTATAATAGCATAATAGCATTGGGAGTTAGCATGCTGACGTTAGTGTTTAGCTCAAACTGGCAGTCAGATCCAGCATCTGACATGTTCCTGCATGACCCAACAGTTAACAGATTCCTGGCACAACATGGCACAATTGTTAGATGTTTTGGGTTTTAGTGGAGCTGTCTCTTCATGCTATGCTTCACTTTCAAAAATAAAATAAGAAGTCTCATTCCACCTCAGAGCTTGTGAATTTGGCATAAAGACCATTATGGCATGCAGCAAAAAGTAGATGTTTGCATCTGACGGCAGCTTCATATTCATATGAGACTATAAATGCATGGACCTGAAAAGTGGTTTGTGGTGTATAAATTAGTGTAGGAACTAACTGTGAGTTAATATTCAATAACTGACAAAGACTTACTAATCACATAAACTCATAGTGACTTCATTATCTTTTAATAGTTAGCAACAGGAATTGATGATTAACATTTAGTTGCATTGAATCATCACTGACTCATTACTTACTCAAGCATGTGTTTTTTTATACTCTATATATATATATATATATATATATGTTCTCTATTTCGCCAAAGGAATAGTTTCACAGAGAGTAAGATTAAAGGTACTCGGTGTAAGAAGAAGTAAAACATAGGCTTCCATCCATTTTATAGACTCTTTAAAGAGCCATAACAATGTTAGTGTTGTTATAAAAATGAGGAGGTATGACAGTGCCCAGTACCAAATAAAAAATATATATGCAACACGTCTTTCTTATCTTTTGTTTCCAGCAATATCCCTCTGAGTTGCATTGGTCACACTCTCTCACATTTATTCTTTCCTGTTGCCTTTGCTGACCTTCTGACTCTAACTGCGTGTGTGTGACCACATTTCAGTTGTCCATTACCGGAGCTGCTATATGGATCAACCCATTTGTGGGCATCTTGACAATCATAGCCCTGTGGCCTGTAGCGATAATGTTCATGCACCTGAGGACTGCCCTGCGGACCCTCAAGATCATCCCTAAGTACGCCATGTACCAGGTAAGAACACAAGAGATGCTTTAAACACACACGTGCCGGACAGTAAAGTCTAAGTAAACGCACATTTCTAATTACATGTCAGGTTATAGGGCTGTCATATGTTTTTTTACAGGATTTTCCAGCAAGTTTGTCAGGTTAAACATTGTATGTGTGTGTGTGTGTGTGTGTGTGTGTGTGTGTGTGTGCTTGTAGCTGGTGCTGATCCTGAGCCAGCTGCAAACGGCTATCATCAACATCTTGGCATTGAATGGAACCATTGCTTGCAGTCCGCCCTTCTCTGCCCCGGCCAAAGGATACAGTGAGTCAACATGCATCTATTCATCCTTGTGTTATCTGTAATGATCGACATTGAGTCTATTCATATCTCCATTCAGTCACAGGAATCACTTCTTAAATACTCCTTGAACATCTGACGTTCGTTTTATCACCTCCTTTACTTTCTGCGCCTCTCTGTCTCCCCCAGTGATGAGTCAGCAGCTTTTGATCCTGGAGATGTTCATCATCACGCTGGTAACACGTCTGCTGTATCGTAGACAGTACGATCCTTTACCTGTGGAAGATGGTGACGACAACGAACACACCAAGATGGCTGCAATCCCCGTATCTGCATGAGAGCTCTGAATGTGTGTGTGCGAGTGTGTGTGCGTGCGCGTGCGCGAGTGTGACGTTTGTACTTTGAATAAGAGATTATATAAGTAAATATGAATAAATATAAATATGAATTATATGCACATTTATCTTGTTGGATGTTCATTACGGGTCACAGATTTGCAAACTCTCGGAAACTGTTTGCACACCAACCGCATACCTTATCCAGAGGGATCCAGTGGAAATTATTGACTTACTCCCACTTTGTGTCAAATTTTTTTTTTTCTTTTACCAAAAACAACAATTCCATACATATACAGTATATTACAGTGTCATTTGGTAACACTTTACAGGTCTGTAATTCCTGGAAAAACTATGTGATTGAGTAATAACTTCAGGGGAAACGGAGTAAAGGTTTGGTGATTCTTTAGTTTGATGTTCAGTTGTTGATTTCCACAGAAAATGCCTTAAAAGGAACTGCTGAATGTAAACCCAAATCAACATTGTTTTATTATTATTTTATTTTTAGACATCTTGTTTTCCACGTATGTTGAATTGTATATCTAATTTTACACTTTTGGCCTACCTGCTGTACGCTGACTAACATACTCTATTAAGTGCCAGCTGAAGTGCCAAATCACTTTCCTTTTTTCCTTTTTGAATAACATGTCAGTTCATAGGGTTATAGGGAATTATGGGAAATAATGGGACCACAAATATAATTGTTTCTATCCGCTGTATTTTTGTGAGGTAGTATCTCATAAATGATGATAAACTGTACTTTAGTTTTGCATTTGCATTCTGTGTCACAACCACTGGGCCTTTTACTGTTACTATTACCATGTGTACAATGTAAGCATTTGAAACGTCCTTACATGAAATGAAAACACTGTATTGACTCTCTGTGGTGTCATTTGCCTCAGTATGTTCAGTTTTTCCACTCAGCTGCATGTTACATTGTAGTATTACTCTTGGGCCACTAGGTGACAGTAGAAAGCATCTGGTAGACACCTGACCTGTGTGGGATTGCCCTATTATCATCACCCGCTTGTTGTCATTACTGTGAGGTAGTTGTCATAGCAATAATCTAATGTATTGTTATTCAAATGCGGGATATAAGAGTCCAATGAGACATTTTGTGGCACATGACATATTGTCTGTATTTATGTGTACCCACTAACTGTCTGTGGATGTAAATACGCTGTGTATTACAGTTAAGTGGCCGCGGATAAACAAGGTAACGTAAACCACGTTGATTGACACGCCTCCGTCCCAGTTGAGCTGTTGTTGTTGTTTATCACTTCCTGGTTTTAAGCCAATCAGCGCAGTGCGTCAACAAGCCCGAGCCAAGTGCGGTTGAGCCGAGACGTTCGAAAGTACGTGACGTGCTGTCCGTAAACGTCAAAGCAGCCCAAACAGACCGGAAGTCTGGAGATTTAACCTTCATAATAAAACGTTTCTTTTGAACGATACATTAATTCAAAGGGGTTAAAGTCAGTCTTTGTGGAGCGATTATTCTGGCCACCCGAGGTAATGTGGTTTTTCAATATAATAATGTGTTACTTAATTACTAAAATTAAATTGAGATTATAAATACTAATAGGCCGGGTCTTTGTTATATGTTGATTCATTACTTTAAAAATGATCAGTGGTGGTAAAAGTAGCCTTTATTCAGATAATCAAGTAAAGCCAGTTAAAAAAACAACTTCTGAAAATCTCTCTGGCTGAGTCATTAATAGTCAAGTCACTGTTGTTATTAAAGTTTATACTTTTGTTTCTCACTTTTAATAAGGCATCAAGAATGCAGTTGTAAATGTTAGTGAGTCATTTAGAAAGCATCATGAGTGAAACTTATAAAAAAAAATATTAAGGCTGCATTTACAAATATTGACTCATTAAACAAGGTGTTGAATGTTTCATATTATATAAGCCATCGGCAGAAATATGCCATCTCCAAGTATAAATGTTAATTCATTAATAAAGTGTT